TCGCAGCTTTAGGAGCTATAGGGAACTCTATTAAGTTAGCAGAGTTAGTTATGTGTCCTACTAGACAGCTGACAGTCATTTGAAGTGGACCAGGACACATACTGTAACAGCCTTGGACAAAACTAGTGGCTGAGACTTAGGTCAGATTGAATATTGCTGCCTTCATTAACAGTATAATTAAGACTTAAAATAGATAACTCCATTTTGTTTTTCCAAGATTTTAACTCCATTATAGCATACAATAGCAGTTTAATTCTTTACAACAATTGAGTTGTAATACTTTTGCACTGGTATGCAGAAAATCAGGGACTTTTCTGTGCAGATGGCATTTGAAAAGATTGAGCCCACAATATTTTAACATTATGTATGTGTATATATCCAAATGTATACAAATATGAAAAAGCATGAGGAAAATTTTCTTTAAGATATCACCACACTTCTGTTTACTTTTTTACACCAAGTGGCAACAATGTCTGTGTCCCAAGTCTCAAAACAAGGAAGGCATCACTTGTATTAAATGCAGGTAATATAAACACACAAAAAAAGAGAAATGGAAGCAATACTCAGCCAAATATAAACAAACGTAAGTGTGCAGTGTAAATCTAGGAATACAACACACGTACACGAAATACTTAACGATACTAAATTTGGCATATCAGAATTTTCCCATATAGTTTACCTGTCAAGACTCAAGTCAAGTGCACAAGAATAAACCAAATCATGGTTATAACACAAACTATGCAATAGTGGGGGAAAAGCCCACCCAGAAGTTTAAAAGATGTTCAATTAAAGAGCTTATTAGTTATTTTGGGATAACCTTCCATTCTTTAGAGTATAAAATAATCTTATAAACAACAAATCTTCCTACCAACACCCTGCATATAACTGTCTATTATTACTTTGTCATCTTGCTTATGCCACCACATAACAAGACCTAAATATTAAGTTCAAGGAGGGGAGGGAAGGAGTAAAAACAAGAAAAAAAAAAAAAAAAGAAAAAGAAAAGGTTAAGTCTAACACTATATATTCTAGCATAAAATTAGGTAACTTTAAAAAAAAGGCATCTGTACATAGCTGTAAAGCCTTTACTTTATTACTGGCTCTGAAAACAGCACATGAAGTAACAGATATATTTTATCTGAAATACTTTAACCAACCTCAGAAAAGTCTTCCCTGAAAATGCAGCTAAAAAAGAAAGTTGCAGTATCTTCAACTGCAACTTGCAGTGCTATTTCAAGAGTCAAACACTTCCTTGTAATTGCAGGCCAGACTCCCAAAGTTCCATTTTTATCTTCTTTAAGTATGTCCATTTGTGGCTATCAATAAGCATCATAAAAACTCAAGACGTTCACATGCTATTTTAGCCAAATAGATTGTAAGTTGTTTCCAGCGCCTACAGCTTACACATTTAGGTTCTGAATGCCTCGCCAAGACTTAAATGGGCACTGAATTAAGATGACGACTCACAATCCCTGAATTTCAAAAGCTGGCAGTTTTATTTCCAGTAGATTAATGGTGACTGGATGCTGGTGAACAAGCTCATAGCTCTACAAGTTTCTACCGTGCAAGGCGAAAATGGGATGTCAGTATAACCCCCGCAGGCTCAACACACCACTAGAGGGCCCTCGCAGCAGCTCGATTGCAGGTGTCTGCTTTTAGCTCTGGCTTAAAGGTAGAACTAGTTTGACCCAGCTACTCCACAGGTTGAAATCGCAAGCATCGGTATACTTTCAGATTTTTGTCTGGTACTACTTCATGAAGTTTCAGCTAAACAAATAGGTAGTGGTTTGTTCGTGTTGTTTTCTTTTTACATATTATTTGTACTGTAGTAACACCCAAAACCTCCCAAAAGAGGTGAATTAATTCAGGCTTTGAATGTTATAAATCATCTCACACTAATGGAAAGCAGATGGAGCAAAAAATGAAAAGTTGTCAGAAGTGAAAATAGAGCATTGTCTTCCTGAACCCTCAAAACCTGAAAGTTTTCTGCATGTGCTTACTAGGATATCACAAGGAAGAATCTGACACGGTTGCCAACTTAAAGAATGTTCTACCATACCCTGCAGGGCTAGCAAGACTCCTTTTAAACCAGAATTTCCCTACAGAAGGTTAGCCCTCAGCAAGACGTCTCTATTCTTATCTATTCTGAAATATGATCTATTTCTAGCGCTCTGATTTTGTGCTAATCATTCTCATATGCTTTGACATTCCTTAATTTACTTACGTTTTCAATGTTCCAGATGTCATGAGTTCCGTCACGAGAACAATACACTTTTTTCCTTTCACTGTAGACTCCCAGGAATCATAGAACCTGACAATATTGGGATGCTGAAGCCCTTTCAGCATCCCGGCTTCCTCTTTAAATCTTTGACGCTCTGACTTGGACAGCTTCCGATCCTAATGAAAAAGAAAAGGTACATCAGAAAGCTTTGTTTTATTTCTTACTCAGAGAAGCAGCAACTTGAACTACAACTGGGTACAGTCAGTGAACAAGTAAGAATTGGCAGTCTTAAATAATGTTTGGTTTGCAATTACCCTTAAAGGTGCTCATTTAGAAGACATCCTATTACAGTCTTTTTTGTCATATTTTTCCTTACAATCTGACTGCTCTCAGAGGTAAGAATTGCAACTCTGTGGATTATCCCTTCTTCCCATTTCCTCTTCCCCTGCTCTAATAAATCTAGTCATTGTCTGAGTTGAGGTGAAAGGAGGACATAATGTCTTCCAATATTCAAGTGATCCAGAGTAGACAAAATTGGATCATTTAAAGCTTCTCTCTCTCGTTGTACATAACAAGGTTTAGTTATGCCTATGTGTATAATACCCAGACCACTGGTAACAGATGGGATTAACCTTCCATATAGGGGGTAGAGCATAGAACCTCTCTAACACATACCATGAACTTATAACTGCAGAAGAACAAGTAAGTTGGATTTATTTTTTTTTTTTTTTTATGAAAAGCATGACCTCATGATTGAGCAAGTTTCCTGTAATCTAGCGTCAAGGAAAACAAAACCATAACTCACACTAGAGACAGAAAGCAATCTTTTGGCCAGAGACAGACTATGAAAAAGCATTCCTAGACAATATTGTTTTATTATCTACCAACAACTAGTTATCAGATAGCGTTAGGACTCTGAGCAGCTATTACCAGACTAAGCTGCACATCTCAAGAGAAAACAGTCTCCTCATGCCATTCAGTTTTCTCAGCTTACCAATGCACTGGCCACACCAGTCAGATTGATAGATATAAACTGGATCTATATGCAGTTTGTATTAAAAAAAAAACAACCAAAACAAAACCAAACCCCCAAACGAGCAACATTTCAGGATATAATTAAAGCCCAGAATTTTAGAATCATTGTTCCTAACAGTTATTTAGGAATAACCAGTGACCTCTCTGTCAAATATGAATACTAATTCTAAGTCATTTTATTTCATATTTCCTTTTCAATTAAAGGAGGTAGTAAAACCATGCAGGGTTTACTTACACTGCTCACAACCTCCTACTATCCTCCAGGCAGTAATTTCTCTTCCTTTGTTTACCAGTAATGTGTTTTCTCAATACCATTCAGCCATGTAATACCTAAACGATCATATATTCACTTAGATCATTAACTTTTTCTCAGAGTTTCACAGAGTATCTTTCCATATGGACAAACTTCATTTCCAGATGAAGCTCTAAGTTTCAGAAGTGTAAAAGCCTTCCAAGTGAAAGTTTGAGAACAGAGTTGAAATGACCTCCGGAATCACTATCTTATCAGTGCCTGTGAATGTCAGCCACACGCATGCTTTTACAGTTCTTAGCAAGATGCTAAATTCTTCTGTCTCGCAAATTTAGTCTCTAGACATCAAAAGCATTCAATCCCGCAACTATTTCACTCTGCAGAAATTAGCACTACCACCTCTTCTCCTTCATAAACATACTTGCACTAACAAATTTTCAGATAACATACTTGCAGAAACACTACACAAACATTTGAGTATTCATGTCTCCCTGGGTGTTAGTTTGAGTTTTCTTAATATGGAAGTAAGGCTTCCATTTGCACTGTCTTACCCATCTAATAGCTTTCCTTTCATTACAATAGATAGGGCAGCATAACTTTTGTTCAAAACCAGTTCACCTTGACTTTTACAAGCAGCTGTGATAAAGAAAAGCAGCAAGTTGCAATACGTACATCAGTCAACAGAACATACATGCATGCTTCTTAGGATCACTCAATGCTTAAAGCAATACAAAAATCACAATAATGTAATTATTGTTACAGTAAAATAAAGCAGTCTTCTCAGCCTCTGCACCTGATCCACATAATCCACATATTAAAACTAGTGTATAGCTGTAAATCCAATTATTACATATGGTTATTAGAAAAACATAGCTGCAACAATTACTTTTATATCACCTTTAAATTTAGTCATGAACAGCTGCATTCATTTTTGTCCAACACCTAGATTTTAAATACACATTTGGATTAAATTCCTTTGTTTTATGCATTCGAATAACTTACCTACACAAACACTACTAACCAGTTTTAGACTACACTTGACAACAAGTTATCATCTTAAATCTGTGTAAACCTAATCTCCCTTAATGGCCTTACACTTACACATTTTCCCTACCACTGTACTACTAACCCCAAATAGAAACTAACAAGTGCTAATCACTCTTATCAATGAACAGACTCTTTAACAGGCAGGCGTATTTTGACTCATTCCCCTTTCTGGCCACATCAATGGTAGCATCGTGTTCCTGCACACGTATCTGTGATGTTTAAAACAGACACTGAACACTTCAGTGCTGGCATTAAAGGAAAAAAACACCAAGTCAGTGATAATACACAGAGTAATTCAACACATCTTTGAAAGACACAGTGCCCTAAAGATCTGGGACAAGCTTGGACACAAACACAGGCCAAGAAATTTCACCCAGGAAGACAGCTACGTTTTTGCAACCAAGGGAACATCACACCCTTCAGTGGCATACTGCAGCAGCAAACTACAGCAGGAAAAGTTAACATTAAAAGTTAACATTAAACAGAGCTGTAAAGAAAAGGCAAAGAGGCCACTTGTTTCATAGACTAGCAATACATGCTACCCTTAACTTCCCTCATTTCCTTGGATACACAACCCATACACTCATCTCAAACAGGTTTTTTTTTATATTCTTTCCAATTAATGCTAGGTAACAGAAAAGGATTAATATACTTCAAAAACACATAACCCTAGCATTCAGGAAAATATTAGATCTCATGTACAGTTATACTAATAAAGTTATCTGTATACACAACGACTGGTTATACTCACGCAAACTACATTCTAAGGCAACCTGCAATTAAATTAGCCTATAGGCTAACATGCCATTTAAAAACTACAAGCACACTTTCAAAACCTGAATATTCCATGCACTAGAACCTTAAAAACATATCAGACAGTAAGATCTGCCAGACTGCATAGAGATGGACTAGATCAAAGCCCATCCCAAATACTACATTTTGGCATCTTCTGAGCTGTTAGCGTGGGCAAATATGACTACTTTATGCTCTTTCTTGTACAAAGATGCAATCTAAGCAGCTGCAGATACTCAAGTATTGAGTTAGAGAATAAATAAAGCACCATATGTAATTTGGGAGACTGAGAAATGGTGCTACCAGCCACGTTAGGTATGAATACTTGAGGAAAGACAGAAGAATACAAGCATCTTGGAATCACATGAAATCCACACATGAAGTTGCTGTATGACAGAGCTGTAGCAGACAGGAAAAGCCATCCCACTTAATGAGAATTTAAAAGATCATTTTCCAAGAATTTGGGAAGGGGACAGCTTTCACAATCTTCGGTTTTAAGTGTATACTCCAAGAGAATCAAAAGCCCAGCTGTGTCCTTCAGACAAGGCAGCTACTTGGGGCAATACTCAGATTCCAGAGTGGCCTTCGAGCAGGAGCCTGCAGGAATGCAAGCCCCTCAACTCTATCTCCACCTCTAAAGAGGTAGCAGAAAGTTTATGGTATATCATTCTAAATAATTCTCCTTTTGATGACATTATCTTGAGGATTAAACAAAGAGATCTATCCCCTGCAGCCTCTTTCCTGTAACTCACAGTCTAAATAGGTACGCTGATGGACCATTTCAGCCTGTTATTTGCCGGTTTCATCTGGAAGCAAAAATGGAGGTTTCACAACTTAATGTTCCTGTATCACAAAGTACAACATTGGTTAAACAAATTTAATGTTTTCTTTGATTTTTATTTTATTTTTAAATCAAGCATCTCAAAACTGAACAATAGAAAGACACTTAAAATGCTTTTCCATAAGCCTGGCAAAATTGAACACTTTTATAGAGAAATCACCACTTTAAGAACAGTTAATAATATATGGCTTGATACCCTATCCTTCAAAGACCAACTTGTCGTGGAACTCCTATGAATAAAATCCAAAAATGGACACCCTCTCTCCTCCCCTAGCCTTTATTTTACCGTAATGAAGCAACTTTAGGCAGACAAGATGAAGTCCTAAGTCTGGAAGTTAGCAAATCACATTCTTGTATCCCAGTTAGCACATGCTGAGCAGATATAGCCCAAATATTTAAAAATATACAAAGCTGTCAAACTGTAGGAGAGTTTGCTTCCTAAAATGGATTTAACTATCCTATGAAATAGCCACCATTGTTGTTCCTGAACTGATAGCTTCCCTGGAGGACTTAAGTGTCACATCCTAATCACTGGGCTGCCCTTCGAACAAACTGAAACAGATGCATCAAGCCCACTCCGTTCATTTCATTCATTCCTTTCCACCTACATTAAATTGTTTTGACAAGCCAGGACAAACAGCAAGGCTTCCCAGCACGTGACTCGCAGTTCTGCAGTGCCAGGGGCCTGAATGGAGACAGGCAGCAAGTGAAGCAATTGTTCAGCTCAGAACAATTCAATAAGCTTTTCTTGGCTGTTTCAATTTATCCGTGTACTTCCCCTCCGATTTTTTTTGGTCAGGAAAGAGCTATCAGAGGTGTTTACATTACCCAAAGTAAATCAGGGATCTTGGTCATTCATGACCATGGTCATTACTTATTTTCACTAATGTACTTAACTTGCACACCTAACCATTACTACTCCCTTTCTATCCCTGTACAGGGGTGCCTTATATAAAGGCAAGAAAACCCCTGACTTAAAACCACCCGTCACCCCTAAGATTAGTTCTTGTATAAAGCCACAAAAAAAAAAAAAAAAAAAAAGCTCATCAGCAAAAAATGCCTATATTCCTTTGGTAAGTTTTTTCACCCAAGGCTTAATACCTATTCAGCATCCTTAATGAGGAAAGAAAATACATTTCTGGCACCTAAATTAATCTTAAATTTCAACTTGGTTGCTCACATAGCTGTTAAGTCCATCAAGTAATTTCTCA